CAACGGGTTCTGGTAGCCAGCGGGTTATCAACAGAAAGTAAAAGTGTGAGACTGATCGAAAGTTTATTTGGAATTGTATGAAAATGTTTGCGTACAAAGAGAAACGTAGCCCGATGTATCGTTTATTTTGTCGAGGTGGCAAGTAGGAAATATCGCGGCAAAAACCGGACGTATGTGTTATTTTTAGGCAAATGGCAAACAAAATGCGAGACTGACGAATCGAAGAGGAACTCGATAGCTCCGCGTAATAAACATTCATTTCACGCTTTATATGTGCGTACAAACGTGGCATCGGATATCGAATGTCGCGTATACTGCTTTGGATATTTTTCAAAAAAAAAAAAAAAAAAAAAAGAAAAAAAGAAAAAAAGACGACATTCATTCGTTGGCGAGTCGGTATCGGCTGGTTCAAAAACGAGACGCTGATCATCACCGCGCTGGTCCGTGCCCTCTCGCGGGATTAGTCAAATCCCAAAATAATACCGTGGGCGAAAGCGGAGTATGTATATACCGTGTTACAAATCTCAGCGACGGTGTAAATCGGACAGTTTAAGCTGTTTGCATATAAATCCGGCGCACGGTCTATTAGGTATTCAAATCAATCGTGATTTACAGCGGAACCCTATTTCAAGATCAGTCGCCTTTAGGATCAGTCGGAAGACTAACAAGCGTGACAAAAAAAGATCTAAATCAATCTGAATCGCAAAGTTACATTCGTTCAAGCGAGTAACTTGTCAAAAACTAGTATAATGCTAGTTGACGTCACGTGGCGTAATCCATTCTCTTCAAGTACAATTATCGTCGAAATGAGACCGTAGAAAGAATCGTTTCTACGAACGAAAGTCTAGCGCTGGTGATTGAAAGGCGCGCCCGTACGTACGGCCGTATTTCTCTGTTTTGATTTCGGACAGCGGGCGCGCAGCAGACAGCAAGAGTGGACTTGAAAATAACCCCACGGGCAGGAGAAGGCCCGTCTATTAATAGTGAAGTGTGAGAGTATCTTTGTCGTGCGTGTTCGGCAGCGTCGCCGAACAGTGTTCGCAGCGAAATTCGTCAGTCGATTTACCGTTCCGCGATACATTCCTCGCACGTACACGCCGGGGAAACGCGTAACTCGATCGGAACACGATGTTCCGCGCAAGTTTCCGCCCGTAAGGCCGGCAGCCGTGGTCGTTGTCTCTTGAATTCCCCTTTTGCCTCGCGTCGGCGAGGACAGACTAAAAACAACGAGAAACTAGAGAGGCATCGGAGGATGGATAGAGAGCTCGGGGACAGATTGGATTAACAATCCCGAGAGAAAACGGGATTGCGGATTGTAACGTGAAATCGAGAGCCGTGTGGCTTGTGTCTGTATGTGTGTGTGTGTGTGTGTGTGTGTGTGCGCGCGCGCGCGTGTCAGAAGACGCGAACGAAGACGGTCGATTCTTCGACTCGAGTTGCACGAGTTTCCCTTTACCTATAGAGACGAACTGGAAGGAAGTTAAAACCACATTCGAGTGAATCTAAATAAAGAACTATCCGCAGAGCGGCGGATGAGCAGTGGGGCGGAGCTGGCTGCGAGAGGGAATATGTGGTGAGTAAGAATGGTACAGCGAGCCGCATGCAGCATCGAGGCGAGCACATTCTCCAATGGTGTGCGGATCAGCGACCGGGAAGGAAGAACATCGGACGTTGTCCCGACGGAAGTGCCGTTCTTAGGCCAGGAGACGCGCAACGTCCACGACGTGGCAGGACGTGGCAACGCGAGATTCTCCCTGTTCAAGTGGTTCAAACGGTCCGGTAATCGAGAGTCCACCAGGGAGAAGAGGCGGGAGACCATCGGAGACAAATACCGAGAGACAAATGAGAACGGCCGGCAACGAAGCGTCTCGTCGAGCACCGAGAGCGTAGACACGTTTTACAGTACGACCACGGTTCGCAGTTTCGCCTTTCACGCTGGTACCTTGAGCGAATGCAATGGATTATCGTTGGACATACTAGAGCAAGCGGCCGAAGTTGGCCCGTTCGCGGCTGGAGCCTCGAAGGTTACAACAAAGGTTGGCAACAAAGAGAACAAGCTGGCGGGTGTTACTTGCACGTTGCCGGCGAACGCTCACTGTCACAGAAGAAGAAACATATCCGCCAGATATTCGCTGCAACCGTCGACTACCTTCATCTCTTACGGAAATTTACCGCTTTACGATCAACGGCTGTTGCAATCGTTCAAGAGACGATCGTTGGACGATCCGAAAGCTCGTTACAGCGTGAACTCCACCTGCAGGGGTGTACACGTGAAAGGGAAACGACGAGCGCCGAATCCACCGGTCGTTTCGATCAAAGCAACGGAGGTAGATGCACGGGAAACAGCGAGGAGCAGCAGCAGGCGAAAGCGACGCGCGCCGAAACCACCGGAGAGGACTGTCGATAGCAGTAATTCGTTTGAGAAAACGTGCGATGAACAGATCACCGATGGCGGGATGGACGTTGAAACGCGAGCAGACATCGCCGAGGACGTGCAAACTCTGAGCAACGACACGCTGGTCCTTCAAGGGGGCGTTCTGCTGCCGAAAAGGGAATTGAAACGAGGCACGAGGGAGAAGAACGCGAGGGATACGAGCACTGGCTCGTCGGACATCGCCGTTCTTCACGAGACGAACCAGACTGTGGCGCCTGGCATTGGAACTCTGAACACAGCCATGCCACGACCTTGGTACAAACGGAGCGTCTTCGAACATTCTCGAGATTCCGGGACGTCGAGGAGGGGCGATGTCCTCCGAGGGCAAACAAGCTCGACGATCGAACTAAAAGAAGAATGCGCTGCCACGAACACGTCCTCTCCCACGGGCTACTCCCACCTGGACGGGTCTTTGTCTAGGCTGAGCTTCTTTCATCGGGGCGGGCAAGCGGAGGAGAGAAAACGCGAAGCGAAACGAAGATCCGGCCTGTCGATTCTGACGAATATCAGCGAGCTTGACAAAGAAGCCGCAGCGATCGTTCAAGAGGAACAGGCACGAGCGAGAGCCTCGATGCTGTTGAAATCGTCGAGATTCGTGGACTCATTCGAGAAAAGGAACGAGATGAACGAGGAGCTCGTTCAAGACATCGTCACGTCGGCGATGGAAAGTTCGTCGCCCAGGCGTGGCACGCGGGCTCTGATTTCCAAGTTCAACGCCATCAGCAACATCACCAAGGTCACGGTGAACGCCAATTTCTTCGCAAAGAGAGACGCAACCAGAGATTCGCCGCAGCCGGCGAAATTTGAGCGAGACGTGGTGAGGAACGCGAAGGCCTTCGAGCATGCCAACGATTGGAGGGACTATTCGATATCTTCCGTTCAATCCACCAGTGGACAACAAGCCAGTCATATTGACAAAGATATATCCAAGTACTTCCCGCAACAGCAACAGAAGACAGCTAGAAATCGATCGGAGATGGGTGCGAAGGCCAGTTCGGCCAAGGAGCAGAACGATCGGCTGGCCAATGAAACTTCCAACAGAATATCGTTCTTGCAGAGCCAATTGGCTACGAATCGAATGAACGATCAGGCGGCTCGGGGGCATAGCGCAGTGGCTGTAATAGAGGAGAAAATTCGATGCAGACAGACGAAAGCCTCGGACGAAAGGAGAGAGAAGGAAAGAAAAGCGAGTAACGAGGATCAACGGAGATCCTTGTTTGCTGGTGGCTCTGTGGAAACTAAAGAACGGGCAGCATCGGACATCTTTGAGGAACCAAAGAAGCTGGACAAGCGACGTATCGATGGTGTTCAAAAAGAGTTCTCGGATATATTCGACGAGATCGACAAGCAACTACGTATGAAAGATTTGAAATTTATTGATCGCGGGACGGCCCGCGCGAATAACGCCACAGACAATAATCAGAAAAATAAAGTTCTCGAGGAGGAGGAAGCCGGAATATCAAGTAAGGTAACTAAAGTGCTCGATATCCTGGTGGAAGCGGAGAAAGACGCTAAGACAAAGAGCGGCGCGCTGTCAGAAAAATCGATACCCGCCGAGGATGCCTCTCGCCCGACCGATCAGAACGTGAAAACGAAATCGGCTAAGACTAGGTCGCCGTTATTGAACACCATCGAGGATCCAATTACAACGGATTTAAAGGAGATGTTGAAGGAAATGAAACACTCGTTACCAAAGCGTTCGAAGCCCGGGAAGATTGTGACACGTAACACCGACGTGACTGAGGAACTGGCTCTGGAGAAAGAGGCGGCGGCTGCCCCTAGCAAGACTACGTATTTCGTTTCCGCTGTAACGAACGTCGAGAATATAGCGTTACAAAACGATTACGAGCTGGACAAACAGAAGGTGTCGTGTTCTGTGCAAACCAGTGGAAATGTACGACGATTGAATCAGCCATCTACGTCTGCGGAACAACCGTCCACCTCGCGATGGAAGCAAGAAGATATCCTCTATAAAACGTCCGGCGAGAGCGTAGATGATTCTGAACTGGTGAAAAATACGTTTCAGCTGATAAGACCGCGGGATTTCGCTGAGATCGAGACGACAAAAACGACGAGGACATCCGCGTTCAACGAAAACACTTACGCCAATGTGATCGAGCAATCGATCTACGCGAACGCGCGTGTCCCACCCTCGCCCAAACAACTTACTCGCTCCTCGCGAAATAGCGTTACGAAAATTGATAGTACCGGCAAAGTGTCGAAAACACGGCCGACACTTGAACAGAAATTCGCTGTGAAAGAAGACGCGTACGAGAGTAGCGAAGAAGGTAACTTCGACTAAGTCGATTGTTCTAGATAGTTGCGGGATATTCCGAATGAATCATTTGTCTAAATTTATTGCCTAATGTAATTTGTGCTTCTGCCTGTTGCTATTTTAACGTTCGTCTCCACTCTCTCTCTCTCTCTTTTTCTCTGTTTGTCGTAGATGACAATTTAGGGAAAAAGAAGAATATGAACACACTGGCCATAAACCGATTACTGAGAAAGTTAGAGGCGGCAATTGCATCTGGTTACCATCAACAAGCAGCTGGTTTGGCGAAGGAGCTAGCCCGGCTTAAGATCCATTGTTCCGTGATTCGACAACGATCAGGCTATCTCAAAGATCGGTTGATTAAAGTCAATATGTACATTGAAGACAAGCTTGCCCACAAGGGGCCGATACCTCTTCAGGTAAATAGCGTTACCTACTCAAATCAAGGTAGCGGACGTTTGCCAATCCATATGACGATATTAGATATTGTACTACTGAGCCCAAATATAATAACAGCTGCCGAGCAGAATGACGGTGGCCGAGTTGAAAGAGAAGATACACATGGAATTCGAGATACCGACGAGCGTGCAGCGATGGATTATTGGCAAAACTTTAGCGAATCGCGATGAGGCGACTATCAACGAATTACAAACTGTCAATGGCTCACCGGTATTTTTATATCTCGTTGCTCCAGGTAACAGTTATAATGGTGAATTCAATAGATTGATTGCTCGCACAGTATTAAAACCTGAAAATGTGATGCAAGTAGGAAAATCTGGAAAGAAAGTGTCAAATACGACAGACGACGGTGTAAACGATGATACGTCTACGGAAGTTGTGCAGATTGTGGAAGAAGGTCACGTAGAAGTTGAAGAAGAACCTCAGGTATTAAATCATTATAATTTTTATAATATTTTCCTACATATTAAAGTAAAAATCTTGTCTACAAATTGGAAAAACAGAACTTGCAGGAGACAAAAGAGAGTGCGACAGTGGAGGTGAAGATGGACAGGTACGAGGAATTAATTTCTTTAGAAAACTGCGACGTCATACCGAACTCCGAACCGATCGAATGTCCCGTATGCTTCGTTACATACGGCCCTCGCGAAGGAGTGATTTTAAGGGATTGCTTGCATATGTTCTGCAGGTAGAACTAAATTTGAGGTAAAATTATAATACGTTACATTAATTAACAGTGAATAATTTTCCCTAGATCGTGTATTGCCAATACGATTCGATACTGCGAAGAAGCCGAAGTGAAATGTCCTTACAGAGACTCGCAATACACCTGTGAATCCACTCTCCAAGAACGTGAAATTAAAGCAGTAAGTTAATCGATAAGATTTTAATAAATAAATGTAAGTACTCGTTGAAAATTTAATTACAACACGATCGTTCAGCTCGTCGAACCTGAGGTCTACCAGCAACATTTAGCGAAATCGATCGCTCAAGCGGAAAATAATGCTGGGAATAACGCGTTCCACTGTAAAACCCCAGACTGTCCTGGTTGGTGCATCTACGACGACGATGTGAACAATTTCCTTTGCCCTGTATGCAATGCAAACAATTGTCTTACTTGCCAGGTTGGAAAACATTAACATTAATATTAATAATTGTACCTCATGCTTGTGAAAAGTGAAAAATTCAAATAATACATTACATTGATTGCAAATGTTTTTAAAAAATATTTCTCCCATAGGCCATTCACGCTGGCAAAAATTGCAAGCAGTACCAACAAGAGCTAAGATTATCGAAAGAAACGGATCAAGAATCGCGAAGAACTGCGGAGATGCTCGAGGAAATGGTGGACAAAGGTGAGGCACTCGCGTGTCCCACCTGTGCAGTTGTTTTAATGAAGAAATGGGGTTGCGATTGGTTACGCTGTTCAATGTGCAAAACTGAAATATGCTGGGTAACGAGAGGCCCGCGTTGGGGCCCAGGAGTGAGTAACCGATACGTAATAATGTCGATATTGAAATATTAATACGTGTAATAACAATTTGATAATTTGATAATTCCTTTATTGATCGTATTTTGGCTGTTCGCAGGGAAAGGGGGACACATCCGGAGGCTGTAGATGCGGAGAGAATGGAGTCAAGTGCCATCCCCGTTGCAATTACTGTCACTGAGAACCGTCGCAAGATACAATTACTGCAACGACGTACGATGCAACGATGCATACAATGCAACAAAGAGGCAGCACCATGAACCAAAATATTTTTATACCATTATCGAGATTCTGATGTATCGGAGCAAACCACTAGTCAAAGCGTCTAATGGCTTGATATGTATTTACTAACGAGTTTGATAACCGATAAAGTTGATACTGATAAGTTACATACGTATACGTCACATAGGATGTTTGCTCAACGATTAACCTTATCGCGGAACCGTCCTTCATGGAATTGGAAGTATTCAAAAAAGCAAATAAAGAGGCAGATACCTCAGTTTCCAGCGGTCGTTCATATTTTTTAATGTTGTAGGGAACACGGGAGAATAAATATTACTTTACTCAAAGCGCATGAACATATAATAAATTATACGTAGAGACAAGTAGTTTTACAATTATACAGGTACTGACTGTTCATTTCTTATCGTCAGAAGTTGTTTCATTTGTACCGATCTGTTTCAACCGTGACACCAACATTGTCTGATGATGCGTGAGTTGTCGATTCAGGTTAAGGCCTCCTGCATTCTGCAATACTTGAACCAAACCCAACTGTACCGACACCATATCCATTTGCCCGTATTTCAGAAAATCACCGCAGTTCAAGACCTGTCCTTCCAACACTCCCCCTACAAAAAGAATCAGCTAACTGAAAAGAATTCTGTTCTGCGATCATTACGTACTCCATATTACGTACCTATTACGAACATTTTCTTACTTTTCTTGATAATCTTTTCTAACATAATCGTATTTATTACAGGACTAAACACAAACGAAGTGTACTCGCTAACTAACGGGGCAAGAGCCTCGTAAGGTGAATTTTTAATAACGTCGTTTATAATATGAACCCCATAACGCTTGTAATGCATATTTTCTTTGAATAATGCAACTTTAATATCGAATACATCCAACTGTTTTACACTGTTCACGTGCAAGCAAACAACCATTTTAGAGTTATCAAACCAATTACGAACTTCCCTCGCTATGATTTGATCGTATGGCCCCAGCTGTCTCTCGATCTTTTTCTCCTCTGACTCTATACAAAATTGCTCCAGAGATTTATCCTCGTTGGGATTGATAAAGAACGGAGTTAGCAATTTGTTTAGTACCCTCTTCTTAAAATATATTTTTGGCTTTTTAATGTTTATCTTGCCCCGGTAACGCTTCTGTTGGTACAGTAATTGATTTGGAGTTAACTGAAGCGCTAAAACAGAAGAAAAGAACATGTATTACACTTGTAACAAAAATAAATTCATTCGCGATTTATTTAATTAATGTACCTACCGTAATTTACTTAACTTTGGCAACACGCTGTTTGTGTCGAACGCTGTTTTCTTTGAATGTAAATTAACAAATCTACGGGGAATTTTTAGTGTCTCGAATTTTTAGAAATCTAATGGATATCGATAAATTATTGGTTACACATTGCTTGTATTAAGTGCGTAATTTTATTCTAAAAATAGATACATGATCGATACGAATTAAAGACAATTATAAAAATTATAAATATATACAGAATAAATTTTTTCGTTTTGCAATGATGTAAGGCACTTTGGAACAAATCATACATATTTAAGTACATATTATATGTGTGTGTGTGTGTGTGTGTGTGGGCGCACGTGGTGTTAAGATATGTATATTTCGTGTATAATATGTGTTTTCTAGGTGTTATGGACAAGTACATTTATATTTAATTCCGTGTCTACGTTATACGTATCTATCCCTTTTTGTATATTATGCGATATAATTAATCGTTCCGCTACAATAATTACTGGATTCGTGATGAGCTTCTATACTATCACCGAAATTGAGCGATTTTCTATTCTTCCCTAATCGAAGCATCGAACGTATGCCACCTTTCTTTCGCGAACGTTTGTATCGATCATCTAAAGCAGAATTGAGAGACGCTTGTTTCACGTCCCCCCGACTATTTGGAAAACCCTCGCGACCGTCTTTAAAATTATTGCTACTTGTTATCTCGCCATGTACATCATCGACAAGCCAGTGCTTCCTCGGTGAAGTATACTTATTATTACAACCATGTATAGTGTATACATATTCCGATTGAGCAGGATCCACGGACTTCTCGTATCGTTTCATACTGCTTTCAGTTGCCGTACTGCCCTCGACAGTGCTCTTATTTTTATTCTTGTCGTAAGTGTCCGATTTATATGCCCTTTTGGTTGGATCTTCCGAATCGAACGACTGACTCGAATGTTTCTGATTCGCTTGTTCTTGATTCTTGTTCTCACGTCCTTCCCGTAATTTTTTATTTCGCTTATAAGTATCTGTGTTCTTGGCATCTAAAGCAGCATGTCGTTTCTCTGACATACTCTGTCTACCTAAACCATCGCGGGAAAACTTATTGGAACTAAATTCCTCCAAGGACAATTGACTATCGTAAGTCGGATCTCCGGAATACTGACTATCTTTATCGTCTGCGTTTCGTTTAGCTTCATTGCACTGTGGATCATTGGAGTCTTCTAGCAATACTGGTTCCGCACGATCATCGCGCTGTCCTATCGTTATCTTCTTCACATTGCTCACAGGTTCTATCCACGTTTTATTAGTAGCAATGCAATAACTTTCATTCCTTAAACTATTCTTATTATACTGCTCGGTTAATCTATCGATAACTGGATTCCATGGAGAGGCGGTCACACAAGACAGTAATCCGCCATTATCTAAAATATCCGTCTGAGAGTTCAAGCTATTCTTTTCCTTTACTCTGCCCTCACTGGCTTTCGTGGTATCAGAAATATATATACTGTTAGCTGATTCCAATTTACACTGAGAGGACAGATTTTCTGATAAGTTTTTATCGTAGGAAGATATCCTCCTGGCTATTGTCAGAGTGATCACCCCAGTTACAGGACTGTTTGTATTGAGCATTGCTCTTCTCAATGTCTCCATTGCATCTGAGTTTGATAATCCTAATAATGATACTCCATTAATATTGAGCAATTGATCATTGGTCCTCAATCTTCCATCTCTGGAGGCTGCACCTCCATGAATAACACTTTTAATAAAAATTCCTAGATCCATGTTAGTGTTTTCATCTGTGTTAGTAGTCTTTCCCTTAACACTAACACCTAATCCTGCTTTCTCTGAATCATGTACTGGTATGTCTAAAGTTAATATCATACGATTTTTACGCGGTGATAAGACAATATCTTCTGATGGAGACTTCACTGATTTAAAAGTGCACTTATCATAACTATGGGTATTAAGTTTGTCTTGCATTTCGGTATTCTTTTTTATAGGCGACGTATTCAATGTATTCCAATATTTTGAATTATCTCTAGCTTCTGAGGCTTGATTTAGAGAAGTACTATGAGAATGAGGATCTGAAATACTGGAGGAAATTTCTTCTTGGCGTGACACCACCATTCTTACCTTTCCACCAGGTGAAATACTTCTAAGAAGTGAAACCACTTCTGCTTGACTTTTACCAGTCATTTCTTTATTATTTACTTCCAATAGTCTATCTCCAGGCCTTAATCTACCATCTTCAACTGCAGCACCTTTTGGTAATATATTCTTAATATATATAGGACAATGACCTCCTGCAGGATTATCACGTGTTGTGACACTAAATCCAAGGCCATTGCTACCTTTTGTTAATTCTATCTCTATCATACGTCCAATTTTACGGGTATTAGCTGTCTGCAGCAAATTATAATTACTACATTGAAGTCTTTTAACATTGTCATCAATTTCTCTTTCTGATCCTCCACTAGTATTGCCATGATTTTTATGCAATGATTTTTCATGTGGTTTCTTATGTTTTACTACAGAAATTTGCAAACATGGTTCTGTCATACAGGTACGAAAGATCTCTTGCACTTTAGAAAATGGAATATGTAACAGATTGTGACCATTTATTTTAATGATCTTATCATGCAGGTCAATTTGCCCATCTTTAGCAATTCTGCCATTCGGTTCAATACCTTCGACTCTAAGGCCTTGATCATTACCCAACAAGTCATAACATGGCACCACATGAAGCCCCAGTGGTCCTGCTTCATTCTTTATCACAATTTCTCGAATCTCTCCTTGATCTCCTGGTTCTATATTAGCATTTGCATAGTTAAATGACACTTTGGCATCTTGTCCCAGTGGTTCTCTACGCCGAGACTCTCTGGGAAGTGACTGAGCAGAGTATGTGGTTAAATAAGGCTCTCTGGTTGACAGTGCATGCATCGACAATCTTTTACTACTTTCCCTTTTAATACCGCTTATAGGAATAGAGGAATGTGTATCAATTGTGTAAGCTTGCTCTTTGCTATCTGGATGACAAAAATCAGGGCTATTTGTTCCAACTGAACTTGCTCCATCACCACCAGCATGTGTGACATCAGTATTCACAAAATGAGCAACAATCTGCTCTCTGTCATCGGCTACATCACATAACCTATCATCTGGATCCAACAGACCACCTCCAGTTAAGGAGGACAAACTATTTACAGTTAATGCATTATCATTTTTTCCGGTTGCCTTTTTATACCTTAGAATAGCCTCATGCATTAAATCTTTAACCAATAGGGTTCCATCCCCACAAGGGACCACCACTCTGACGTTGTCGAAACACACAGTTACTTTCATGCTCGTTCTGATTTCATATTATCTTGTTATACATTTATCGATTATCTTTAACGTAATAGTATGCTTAAAATTCTTTCTCAAAATTTAGGACGATGAAAGAAGCACATGTGTTGCAAAATATATATATATATAAAGTTGTAAATTTTCTTTCGTACAATACAATTGTATTCTATTATCTATCGTACACTTCCATATTCCGCTAATGAATCACCGACATGGTACACTGGACACTTTATTCCTTTTATTGTCGGTTATATCTTTAATAACTACGTGTATATATGTAAATTAAGTAGACATGCTCGTTATAAAAAAAACTTTGTCACGACTGATAAGGCGGACGCGTACGCCCAACTTTATCACAACATCAAATATGCGGAACAGACGCACTCGCCATTACCTTATTCTATTCCACTATTCCTTCTGGCAAACCAACGAAAAGCAAGGAACATGGCGACACAAACAGTGTGGCCAACAGAATAATTCACCGCTTCTTTTCGACATTCATCTTAACTTTAATAAGAAAAGAATGACATTAATATTTACCTTTCTTTACAAAATGAGCCATTGTTCAATTCTGTTATTCTTGTGACAGTAGTAATAAATGGTTCATGGAGAAATTTTATATCTTTTTCACACACTAACTCGTATCCTTATTTACACACTGGTCACACTAAATCAATGGTTCATATCCATTGGTTCTTGTCTAATCGTTGCACCTAAAGGTTGTTTTACAACTAGCCGCATTCTCATCGATTTAACAATAAGATTATCCTTAATTCACGAATAACTTTATCTAGTACTGACTATTTTTGCAAATTCACGAGATTATAAAAGATTAAAGATACTTGTTTTAGTTATTTTATTATATATTTTACTGAATTAAAACAAAAATAAATAATCATACTCGATACAATGAACTAGTTCTTTAATAGAATTCAATAGTCACCTACCCAAACCTTACGTAGATTTTGAAACGTCAAGTTGTAAAAAAATTTCTAGTGATTAAAACCACTTTTTCATTACGTCATTGTCAACTGATAGCACAATAGAACACGGATATTTTTAATTTTACAGAAAAATGAAGTGGTTTGAAGGTAGTATTAATGAGGCAGTGGCAACATCAAAAGCTAGAAAGGCAATTTTTGTTGTATTCATTGAAGGTATGTATTTATAATGTTACGTTAAGCTGTTATTCAATCTGTTACTGCTTGTTTTTCATTTAATTTGTAATATACTCATAAACTTTACTTTATTTTCATATTTTATCACAACAACTATGCCTTATTTGTTTTACAAATGTAATAAAACAAATTGCTTTGTAATCTACTTGTAGGAAAAGATGACACATCTGCACAGGTTGCTGAAGCAATCAATGCTACAGAAGTTTCTTGTCGCTTGGAACAGGAAGATTTTGTAGCAATAAGATTGGAAAGTGGATCTGAGTCTTACAGATTTTTTGCTCAGATTTGTATCCTTTCATTTAATGTTTATTGTAATCTTTAAATTGACTTGCAAAAACTATATATATATATATATATATATATATATATATATA